CAATATCTTATTTATTAATGTATTATAAATTAAAATTTTTAAAAATAATGTTAAATTCTTCTCATTCTAAATTTTCAAAATCTTAATTTTTTAAATTTTTTACTAATAAGAAATATAAGATATTAAAAGTTAAACTTGTGCGTTGGCAACCGTGAAAAGTGAACTGTTACCATTAAAAGGGAACGGATGAAGTATCTCTTAAAAAACCGCAGTCACACCCCTCATCATTTTTTAATGTTTCCATGTTGGTAAGATGTGTACTATTTATGAAACATGTATAACTAAAAATAGCAAAGATGTTAATGGATCACATGTACTCGTTCGTATTTTACTTTTAATACCAATACCTAGCCGTAGGAGTGGAAAAAATCGAACCGAAACCCGAAAACCGACCCTGAACGGCCCAAATTATGATACCGGTCCGGGTTCTTTCTTTTTAACTGACCCGAATAAAAAAAACCTGGACCGAACCCGAAATTTCAGGCTCATTAACGAGCCCTAACAATTATAACCCGGCCCGTACCGATAAAAACTCGAAACAAATATCTTTCATATAAAATCAATATAATATACGAATATAATTTATAAATCGATTTCTAATATATGATTATAATCATGGTGGATGAAAATATGACTTAGTAACTTTTAGTTACTACAAATTTGTTCAATTTATTTACCTTAATGACCATGAAATTAGAGTTATAGTAACTTTAATCAAATTTTTATCCATAAACTTTACATAGTATTTTGTAACATTTTTAGAAAACCTATATTATTTATTTATATGCATCTTAAACCAAATATTATAAATTATCTTCTTTGGATTTGAAGTGTTTATACTTTTCATTAATTTTATTTGAAAATATGTTTTAAAATATAAAAGGACAATGAGATGATTTCACATTCGGGCTTTAACCGGATCAACCCGAACCCGGACTGAACCCGGGCTAAAAAAACTCGACTCAGACCGAATATAATGGGTTTTGTTCCGGTCCCTAATTTTCATAACCCGATACCTTACGGGTAATTTCCGGATTTAACAAAAACCCGACCCAGACCGGACCGATCCCACCCTAGCCTAGCCTATGGCATCTTATAGCTGCTTAGGTATAATTCGCAATTCTAAATTCAGCTGAAAACTAATACAAAGATTTTTTTCCTTTTTCTTGTTATATGATTAAAAGGAAATCACACAAAAATATGAGTTAAAAGGGTGTCACAATCTACCTGTGATCTGAAGGACGACCAAATATGATCTGACACGGAAAAATGCTCATAATTTTACACGAATTAAAAAGGTGTCAATTCACATAAAAAAATGAAAGTGCCTTGGAAGATTAGAACACAACATTTTAATGGGAGAATTTCCAAAACAAGAGTAAATGAAGTTTGGAATTTCAAAATAGAGCTACTATGTTTTTATTTCCGAAATATGACTAACATGACAGTATTTATTGTCATCTTGTAGGCGTGACTGCCAAGTAGATTCAGTACAGTGCATTTAACATGACAGTATCTATTATAATTAATGACAGTATTTTTCAATCATGACAATATTTTTTCATACATGGCAGTAAAATTTCATATTTCAAGAAAAATATACAGTAATCCTATTTTGAAATTCTAAACCTCATTTACTCCTATTTAGGGCCATTTCACTATTTTAATCACTTTCTATTTTAGTAATACAGTCGTGATTATGGCCCGCAACCCGATCTCATGATGAGAAAATTGTGCAAAATAGGACCAAATCATACAAAGTTTACATGATTAGGACCTAGTTAGTTTTTTCCATCCGTATGCTCTATTTTGTTCTAGTTTTAGGAACCTTAATTTTTTTTCCGTTTCTACCCTCCACCCTTGCATCTCCCGTACCCCTCCCATGGTTGTTCGCTATCCGCACCAAACACCTTCTGTTGCCTGCAACTCTGCAAGTCGCACCAAACTCTAGCGGCGGCGCTCGTGTATCCACACGGGTGGCGACTCATCCCTCCGACATCTGGTACAAGCGGCTCCACTCCTTTCAAGTCCTCCGCCGTGACTGCGATCGCCCATCTCCGTCAGTCTTCTCCTCCTCTAGGACGGCTATGGAAGACGTCAGCGGTCAATAGAAGATGACGATGGGCGACTACGACTGCTGGTTGCAACGATTTCGCTAACCGATGCTCTTCTTCATCGCCATCGCTGAATCTAGATCTTGATCGGTTCTTCTTGTAGCTATTATTCTCCTTCGTTTTCGATTAAGTTATGCACTGATAGCGATTCATCATCTTAGGCAAAGAATTTGGACAGGCCTAGGCTGGGAAAGGAGAGGGACGAGCCTAGGCTGGGCTGGGGGCAGAGCATTAGAATGAGAGGCTCGGGGATGGGGCGTGCCGGCGGTGACCTCCTCCCTCAATCTCCTCCGCCGCTGCCGCCATGCCTCTTGACGACCTCTCAAAGCATTTTCATCATTGGAAACATCGAACCATCTCTTTTCTTTCTTGCTCTGCAATCAAATCATTGTTATCAGAATTTTTTTTTTTTATTGTCTACTTATTGTCTATGTATTGCATGGTATTGAGTTATTATTCGAAATTATTGTCTGTTTACTGACTACTTAATGTCTAGTGTTTGCAAGTTTGATTTTGGATCTGGGTAAAAGCATGGCAGAGCGTGTCTGCGGCAGTGACCTCGCCGGAGCACGGCGGTAGCAACTTTGCCAGAGGACAGAAGTGTGGCCTCGTTGGAGGCCTGTGACAGTCTCGCCTGAGGTGCAGGCAGATTCACTGGATGAGGCTGTACAATAGGACGGTGCGGGCAGATTCACTAGACGGCGGCTCCCTAATAGTGACGACGGCTCCCCAACGACAGCGGCGGGTCCCTGACGGCGACGGCGGCGGCTCCATGGACGTGGCGATGACAGTAGCTCTGTGGAGGATGTAGCGGCCGGGGGTATGGGGCTACAGATCAGGGTTTTAAAATTGAAGACAATTTGGTCAAAACTCCTATACTTAAGTCTTACCCTAATCTAAAATCTTAATTTTAAAAAAATTGGTATGATTAAGTCCTATTTTGGAAAATTACCCCTCATGATAGATCCTGCGGTAAGCCATGGACTACCAAACTCAGCCTTCAAGGTAGCCTTACGTGTCGTGTATGTACGAGAACACATGTCAACCCTTCCTTGAACAGAGCCATTTAGACTTTGAATTAGGGAAAAAAAATAAGAAAAATTCGTTTCGTACACCTTTTTATACATGTGGGAGTTTTTTTTTGTCTGTGAATCCCAACCGACAGACGAAAACTAGCTTGTTTTGTCTGTAGAATTTTCCACAGACAAAACAAGTCGGTTTTGTCTGTGAAATGGGATTCAAAGACAAAAAATCTGTCACAGACACAGAAGTGTACTAGTGTGTATAAGAACGTGTACACCAAGAATTTTTGAAAAAATAAGGTACATTTGGACCAGGTTAGTTTCTGGGCATCTCTTCTCAAATGAGTCAAATCGACGACAACGATGCTCATGTTATCTGTACTCGACGAAGCTAGCGGATATTGATCCGGGATTATTTAATTACTTATCGGGCTGGCTGGCCCATTAACATCGGTATTAGTTGATAAGTTGGGCCAAGCTCATGTAACACTTAATTTGTGGGTATGTTGTATACGCCTATAAATACGTCACCAACCCCTTGTATTCTCCGAAGTTATTTTCACTATATTGAATTGCTGTCAAATTTCTCTACCCGTGATATTTTCTACCAACATGTGCAATTACTTTACGTATATAGTGATTATGTTTTATTTTTAGTATTAGGACTATAAAATTTGATTTTTTTTAACAAGGATACCACCACTAAAGAATTATTCCAAGAGAAATTTGGTTCTATAAGTAAGCTAAGGGATCAACTAACTTTATAATTGAGTTTCGTTTTGATGAATTCACATTGTCTCAGAAGTTTTTTTTCAAAAGAATTATTTCTTTAATTAATCTTATAATCTTTTCTTGATTCATTTGCTTTGAATTATTACGCAACGAGATATGATTAAAACAAGTAGGAAGATTTGTCAAAGTAGGAGTACATGGAGTTTGGAATTCTAAAATAGGAGTACAATGTTTTTATTCCTGAAATAGGACTAACATGACAATATTTACTGACATCTTGTAGGTGTGACTACCAAATAGTTGCAGTACATTGCAGTTAACATAACAGTATTTATTATAATTAATGACAGTATTTTTCAAACATGACATTATTTTTCATACATAACAGTAACAACTTCTATTTCGACAAAATATATATAGTAGTCATATTTTGGGAATTACAAAACTATTTACCCCTATTTAGGGCAATTTCCCAAACAAGTACTTGTAAGATATTTCATTCCGAGATCATGATCGAGTCCGTTATTTTGTCATTTTTTCCTTTCAGTGTGCTATCCAATATTTGGAATTGTAATTTTTTTTCAAGGAAAATACTTGATTATATTCGGCAATGATTTTTCTGGTAAGACTTTTGGAGGAAAGTGTACTTTGTCATGGTAAAGTCTTTAAAATGGATTTTTTTTAATTCCTAGATGTTTTTACTTGGACCGTAATTTGCTGGTCTGGTCTGATCTGATCTGGTCTGATCTGGTCTGGTCTGTACTGGTCTAGTCTGGTCTGGTTTCTTTGTATTTTATAACTATCCGAGTCTGGTCTGGTCTGAACTGGTATGGTCTGGTCTGATCTGATCTGGTCTGGTCTGAACTGGTCTGGTCTGGTCTGATCTGATCTGGTCTGGTCTGGTCTGGTCTGGTCTGATATGGTCTGGGACAAATTACAGTCCAGGTAAAACATCCACACTCTGCAAGTCAGTATAGTTCAGGTCTAATAAGGGGCACAATTGAAAATTAAGAAATTATTTAAATCTCTCTTATGTTTGAAGGGAGCAAGGTGGTGCATGATTCAATGAAACTTATGCAAGACTGCACAAAAAAAGAATGACACCCCATCCCTGAGGCCTCTCAATCCTGATCGGATGATAAGTTGGGAGGATATAAATTGAATTATAATTCCAATATGACAGATAGAGAGTGAGCTCTGTCCTCGGTACTTGCAGAGATCCTATATTATTTTTACATTTAGCGTAATCATATTTCATCGCAGTTGACGTGGTTCGAACCAGAACCTAAACCTTGTGGCCCTTCCGTCTTTAGCAAGACTGCAGAGAATGCGAAAAAAAATTGGATTCTCCATGGACAACCTAGCAGTATTACGGAGTATTACTAATTTGTGGACCATTCACCCCCACCAAATTCAAGAAGATCCTCATCTTGGAGCTTTTCTTGGCCTAGCATTGAACTCAACTAAAACAAACGCCCCACGGGGACGGCCTTAATTAGTGTCAGTAACTTCACGTTCAGATCAGAAGCTGTTAAGTTCATGAATGCCAACTATTCGTGTCTTTTCTTCCTCCCTGGCCTGCCCGGCTGCCCGGCCCTTCTCACATTAAACCTGCACCTTCACTAGTTGAAGGCCTACTTCTGATTCTTTCGTTATCCTTATTATTCCAAGCAAGCAGATTATGGATGAAATAATGGAAACACCATCTATGGCCAAAGAACTAGAAGCAGCAAAAAGGGTATTATCTTCCCTTAAAGAAGAAGGCTTCAAATGCATGGCTTCTCTGGACGATATAAGAGGTGAGTTAAAGCATGTCTCATATGAGAAAGGTCTGTCAAAGAAGAAGCAACAGAAGTCTGACTTAATCATCCAGAAACTGAACTCCAAGCTTCTAGAAGCAAACGCCAAGCTGGAAGCCACATCTTTAAGTCAAGAAAAAGTCAACTCCCTCTCCTCAAATCTTTCCCTCACTCTTGAGCAGGCAGAGGAGGCAGCCGGGGCTGCCCAGAAAGAAAGCGCTGCTGCCATGGAAGAAACCGAAAAGATTAAGGAAGAAATCAAGAAAACAGATTTAGAGACAAGTCTGGCTAAGGAGAAGCTACAGAGTGCAGTGAAAGAGCTTAAGAAGGTGAAGTCATCAGAAGGGAGTGCACTGGAGAATCTAAGAGCACTTGTGGGAAAGACAGTGATGGAAAGAGCTTCCATGAAAAGCTCCAAGGTGGTAATCTCGAGATTTGAATATGAATACTTGATGGGTAATGCGGCTATGGCAGAAGAGATTGCAGACAAGAAAGTTGCAGCAGCTGAAGCTTGGGTCAGAGCTTTGAAAGAAAGCGAGAAGGAGATCTTGATGAGAACCGAAATGCTTGAGAGGGAGACCAGAGAGCTCAAGGCAGATTATAGGCTTCTTTTGGAGAAAAGACTCTATGCCAAGAAAATCAACACTTAGGGGGTGTACTTAGGGGCGTATTGTATTAGGAATTGGTGTCAAAATTTTAAAAGTCTATGGATTTTAAAAGTTTAAGTGTATTCAATGTGAACTTTTAAATGTCTACAAAAGTCTAGGTGTATTCAATATAGACTTTTATAAGTCTATAAAAGTCTAGGCATATTCAAAGTTCCGTTCATTCTTATGAATTTCTAAAATCATGGATTCTCATTGACTTTTAACTCATTTTTAGTACATTAATTCTCTTCGATTGTCTCTTCTCCTCACTAAAGATTTCCGTGGACTTTTCTTATATCGGTTCTTCATCCCGTCCCCCACCCCACCCCGCCAACTCTCCTCTTCTTTAGCCAATTCACCTCTTCCTCTTCGATCATTCTTCTTCTTCAGCCTAGCTCGCTCCACTCCTCTCCTTCCATTCTTTTTCTTCTTCAGCTTGCCCCACCCCACTCGATCCGTTAATCCCATACTGGTTCGATTCTAAAAGTTTCTAGAAGAACTGGTATAAGAACCGATAATATTACATCAGTGCAATTCTGGTACTTCATCACTTAACCATTAAGAAAATAAATATTTTAACTATTACTTTCTTTCATCGTTAAATCGCTAACACATAAAAATATAATTTCAAATTAATAAATATATAACCGTAAATAAGTACACAAAATTTTACAAGATAGAAATGAAAAGAAAACAATTATTAAGAAGATAATCTCGATTGCAACTGTGCTTGTACCACATGTAGCAATGAGTGTAACGATTAATGTTCTTACTCATTAATAAAATGACCAAAATTCTTGAGCATTCTTGAAACTTTGAGTTTTTTTAATAAAAATAAATTTGGATTCTTATGCTTCATTTATTCTTGTAGAACTTTGTGTTGCAATATGAATTACATTTGTTTCATCTATTTATTTATTTATTAATTTATTTGTCTATTTGTTTCTTATCATACTCTGTATTATACAGAGGAAATTATTCAGGGTAGGACTAAAACATACGGAGTAGCATTCTTCTTAAAGTATGATCATATGTTTGATTTTCCTTAAATAGGACTAAATATTACATATTCACCCCTAATTTAATTAATTAATATAAGTAATTGTCTATAATTTCCTTGCATAACCAAATCGACTTTGTTGGTGGCGGATCAGTCTGATGACGACATCGGGGAACTCAAGTAACGGAGGCGGACAGACAGATCGGTAGCGGCGGTCTAGGTGAAAATTTCGACGACCAGCAGTGGTGGTTCGCATTTAAAAGTCTTTGGACTTTTTGAAAGTCAATAAACTTATCCATGAATTTAAAAGTCCATAGAATTCATTCATAAAAAAGTCTATGAATTTAAAAGTCCATTGACTTTTTTAAAAGTCCATGGATTAAAAAAAATCCACCACAATCCATATTCAATACACCACCTTTAGATATCAGCTTCATATCATAATACCATGTATATTATGAATAATTTCCTATAAAAATATATTACAGAATATTAGTCAATATTTAATTTTATTGACCAAGAAATGGAAAGATGCAATGTTTTAAAGGACATGAAAGTAATGCATATGATTGTTTTTAACTTATTTGTATAATTGTATTACATTATTGTTGTATCATTACATGAGAAGATGTTTTTTATAAGAGAGAATTCTCCAAAACAGGAGTAAAAAAGTTTTGAAATTCCAAAATACGACTATCGGTTTTTTTTATTCATTGAATAGGAGTAAAAAATTTCCATGTTTGACACTACTATGCTTTCAACATGACATTTTTTTTTTCAAACTTGGAAGAATTACTCCTATTCAAGGAATAAAAAACTCATACTCATGTTTTAGAATTTCAAAATATTTTTACTCCTATTTAGAGCAATTTCTATTTTTATAATCATCTCATTTATACAAATAATCCCCACATATTACTTCCACATCATTATTATACGGAGTATCAGAAAACTTATCAAATATTCTCTATCATTGATCCATCATTTTCAAATATATCCTATAGATGAAAGTCAAGATCTAAGTAAGCATTTCAAAAAGCGATTAGAACGGAAAGATTTATAGACTTTAAGTTCCCCTTTTCAGTTTTCACTCACCGCCACAACAGTTTTCGCTCAAACTGTTCAAACATTTTAGAGACTTCGTTTCAAGTCTAGTAATAGGCTCAGTTTCTAGCAAAAAAAGAAGTTAACATTAGCGCTAGGAGGTGATAAAGAAGATCGGTTTTACGTTTCATTCGCTTTTTTGAAGGACTAAAAGGAGTAAGGCCGTAACCGTACGTCTTTTTACGCAAAGCTCTGCTTTTATTGCTATTTTATTCCTTTGATTAAAGGCCATATTTATGTGTAGTCGATAACTGATTTGACGTTTTGTGCTGGCATGTGGGACTTCATAATTGTTTAAAGAATGCTTTCACTTTTGACGTATATATACTTTTTTTTAGTGTTCTGGAGTCTGGATTTGTCTTTGTAATCTCAGTTCGTCGAGTATCTGTGGTCGTTGTTTTCTTGACTTCGGTTTCATCAATGACGTGGTGGAATTTGAGATCCGTCCCTTTCCTTGAGAATTTCAGACGGGTTCCCCTGGCTGAGGTGTGGAGGCGTTCACTAATTCATGCATACTGACCTTTATATGCGCGCTTCTCTGTATTATGAGTGCTTAAATATCTTAATGGACACTTTCTGCATATTTTATGAGTTTGAAACGCTTAAGGGGTTTTACCCTGTAATTGTGTGAAGAGATTCAGTGCAGGGTATTTAGTTTATTTAACTGTTATAGCATCTCTTGTTCTTTTAGTGCCAAATTCAATGACTTACAGTCTCACAAGTTACAACCCTAGCCTCTCAATCTTGTTGGATGTTCAAAATTTTATGATAAGTACTGAAGTACATCGGAATATTAATAATTATTCACTGTATATTGAGATTGATATATTGGGGTTTTAGCAGAGGCTGATAAATCAAAGGTTGGGGACTTCTGATGGTTGTAGCAATTCTTTTTTCACCCTTATTTCCCATTGATAGGACACAGAAATAGGAAGGTATAATGGTTGGGTCATGGCTACAAGTTTAGTTATTTTTGTTTTCTTTTGATTAGTTAAATTACATTTTCCCTTCTGAACCTAAGATTGTTTGATGTGCTTCAATGTGGATGATGTGTTAAAAAGCTCTATGCCTTTGTGTAGTTTTCTACTAGCTCTGATGAGTGATGATAGTTCCACCCCATTGAGTTTTTTTATCATGCTTTCTTGTTCTTCTTCTTCAAATGTGCATTAGTAAAATCATTTTGTAGTTTTACCAGCTTTATCATTCTTATTCTAGTTGAATTACTTATCCTACGCACTATAACTCACATTAATTTGTCAGATCTACATGTTAAGACTTTCTACATAGTTATTTTTTCATGGCTTATTCTGAAGTCAAATTACCCACAACAAAATAAAATGTAATTGCAGAGAGAAATGAGGGAAGTCCAGCTGGGATCACATACTGTTAGGTCTCATGGAGTTTCTGTGGCGAGGACACACATGCATGACTGGCTGATTCTCTTCCTTCTTGCTGTGGCAATAGTTATTCTGAATGTTATTAACCCCTTTTACCGTTTTGTTGGGAAAGATATGATGGCTGATCTGAAGTACCCTTTCAAGAACAACACTGTTCCTTTCTGGGCAGTACCTGTAAGTTTCTCTATTACTCAGTGAATAACAATACATAATTCCTGTAAATATGCTTATGTTTTGTTTTAAGTTCCTTAATTGATTGGCACAGGTGTATTCTGTTTTGATGCCGATATTAATCTTCCTGGGATTCTATTTTCGTCGAAGGGATGTCTTTGATCTTCACCACGCAATACTAGGTAAAATTAAATCTGTCGTATGCTTGGTTTTTTGTGAAATCTCTATTATATTCTTTGTTGGGTTTTCATTGGTTTAATTAGGAATAACATCTACCTATCTCTTTGAGATTTGGTCTAATTGGCAATTCACCCTCGCTGGTTATGAATACCTTACAAGTCCCTTGACCAGTTAGGCTTTCCGCTATTGACCCTTTTTAACTTTAGAAGATTATTTTGCCAAAAAAAAAAAATTTAGAAGATTATTGAATTCAATGATACTAACAAGAATTGTGCATTTGTGCGTCTTTTATATTCAATTTGACGTTGCCTTTGTTTAATACTCTGTTGTTTCTTTTTTATCAATCTCCAAAAGATCTTCTCATTTCCATTGTTAGTAAAAGTTTACTATTAACTGTTCTGTCATTTCCAACTTTTCACCGTTTTCTCACTCTCACCGCATGCAATGGCCTACTCCTAAAATGGATGCAAAACTAGAAGAGGAAGAACATCTATAGATGCGGAGAGTACATATCAGTTAAAACATTAATAACTTTCTCCCAAAGTTTTTGGACAAATATTGAAGCGTAATATAGCCCCGGAAAAACTACTCCCTCCATATTCTTTTGTTTGCTACACTTTTCTTTTTGGGAATATTTTTTTGGTTGCTACGCTTTCCCTTTTAGGTAAGTTCCCTTAAAAAATACTCAATTATCCATACTTTTTCTACTCTTCATATTCTCTTTCATATTTTCCTCCCCCTCCTACTTTTTCTACACTATTCACTACCCCTACTACTTTTCCCTTAAATATTGTGCCAAACCCTATTGTAGCAAATAATTGATTATGGAAGGAGTATATTCTATTATCCTCTTCTGCCATATGGTAAAAATTGTACTGTTTGAGGGATTATTTCAGAAACTTCGATGCTTGTTTGGTTGATTTACCAAATATCAGGGGAGATAGATGCAAATAACCTTTGTTCTTCTTTACTTGCAGGGCTTTTATTTTCTGTTCTAGTGACAGGAGTTATCACAGATGCTATCAAAGATGCAGTTGGTAGACCTAGACCAGACTTCTTTTGGCGTTGTTTTCCAGATGGGAAAGATGTAAGTTTGCTACGGGATTTTACTTTCAGCAGTCCTATTATTTTCTTGCTTCCTCTGCTTTTAGACTGACTAATAGGATCTACTTAATTTCAATTGCATTATAGGCTTATGATAAATGGGGACATGTCATCTGCAGTGGACTTAAAAATGTCTTAAAGGATGGACATAAGAGTTTTCCAAGTGGGCACACCTCTTGTAAGTGCTGCAATAAAATATTCAGTTAATTACATATACCTCCACTAACTTTTGTGTGAAACTACCAAAATCCTTGGAGACTTTCTTGAAATTACAAATAAGCCCCCCTGTCCAGTTACATATTTCACATATGAGTTATTTGGCACTGAAAGAATGTAGAGTATATACTGATATTCACAAGAGCTGTCCATTTTCAGATTAAATTTGGTGTTTTAAATGCATGTTATCGACTTAACTGTTTAGATCTTTCTCTAAAACAGAATCTTTGAGATAGTTGTTGAGGGTCATTTGGTCTGGAAAAACTCTTCTGTATCAATATTGTTATATCCTATCATCTCCAAAATTTGACTAGTAAGAAGGGTTTGTCTTTAATTTTCAGAAACCTCAAGGGTCGTAACGTAATTTGACCCAACCTTGACTGAGGTAGATGTAATTTACCCTATGAGGGTCACAAGCAATGTCTACTTTTGTGTATTTGCATAACATGAGTTTGATTTTCATGGATATTTATTTGCTGATAAAATAATTATTATAAAATGGTTTGCCAGGGTCCTTTGCGGGTCTTGGCTTTCTGTCACTGTATTTAGCTGGAAAGGTAAAAGTGTTCGACAGCCGGGGGCATGTTGCAAAACTGTGTGTTATATGGGTTCCTCTGATAGCTGCATCCTTAGTTGGGATTTCTAGAGTGGATGACTATAGGCACCACTGGCAGGATGTGTTTGCTGGAGGTTTACTTGGTTTGTCTCCTGTTTAAAATCTAATCTTCTTTTATTTCAAGGAAAAATTGATTGCAATAATCCCAACTATTGGCGGTCCGCTCATAATAATCCCAACTATCGATTATTTCAGAATAATCCCAACTTTAGGGCCCTTCCTCCAATAATGGTCCAAGGTGACCGATTATAAATAAATTCTTATAGTTTCTAAAGAGATATAGTAGGTAATCCCTATAGATAATCCCGAATTTCAATTTCTACGCTTAATTTCTATTAAAAAATCACTTGTTAGAGCATGTAATATGCAGTCATGGACCATTATTGGCGGACAGTCCATATAGTTGGGATTATACAATAATAATCAATAGTTGGGATTATTGTTAGCGGACCGGTAATAGTTGGGATTATTATTTTCAATTTTTCCTTATTTCAATATGGTTCCAAATAGTTGGGATTAAGGGCAAATTTTTTCTGTTTTGCAGGGCTAACAGTTGCCACATTGTGCTACTTACAGTTCTTTCCACCTCCACATCATGTCCAAGGTGCGGCGTTGTTTTTATTCGTGCACTGCTGTAGTTTACATAATTGTTGCAGCAAGTCTTTATTTGTTTACTTATTGATATTTTCAAAAATAACAAAAACAGGACCATAATGTAACTATGGATAATATTTGTATTGTAGAAATTGCGCTTTTAGTCTCCTGATTGTTTGACAATATGTGATGTGAGATGTTCTTTTAGTCTTGGTGAATTTACTCCGTCAATTGTAATGATTTCACAAGAATCAGTCAACCTCATTAAAATCACCCTTAAAAATTAGTGGCTTAATGGCAAGAATGCCCGTCAAATGTCTAATAGGGGTTTTAATGATATAGATAATTGTATCTTTAACTATAAGAAACACAGGGACTAAATTTACAAAGTCCAACTGTCCAAGACAAACTTTGTCTCAGATTTTACATGACCTCAACAACTCAACAACGGAAGGAAACTGCGATAACTTTAAGCTAGCATTTGCTGAAGATCAAACAGCATATCACCTTAAGCCGTATCCCGGAAACCTCATTATTAAAGCTTGAAATTATGGTCAATAGATTATTTGAGAGAATCATGGGATTTACCATTACTAGTAGTCCTTGTCACCCTGTGCCCCGTCTTAGTTGTGATTTGGCTTCAAATTGTATTTCTGTATGTTCACTGTTGTTCTTGTAGGTTGGGCAACATATGCATATTTTCGGGCACTGGAGGAGACCAACAATGGTGGAGGAGGGACCACTGAAGTTCAAGCTGAAAACCAAGAAGGAGAAAGAGGTCATCCTGATACATTCATGGGGATCGCTTTAGCTGAATGATTGGCCCTTCAAATTTTGAGTTAGGGAGTCTGGCGGAAGTAGGTGTTCTTGACTACTTGTTCAGTTGAAACCAGAAGAGTGACATATGTGGATGTGTAATATGGGTCTTTGTATATAATATGTGGAGTATATAGTAGCAGAGTATATATCTGTTCTTACCAAGTACAGTAGGTATTAGGTAATGAGTAATGACTGGTGGGGGTGAAGCAAACTATTTTTAGTTCGAAACACAATCCCAATTTTGCTTCATTATTTTCCTCTTTTTCCCCTCATGCAGAACATATTTTAACACTATTAGTGATACATGTAACAATGTCTGTAGTTAGTGTTCGAACAAAAATATGGACATTCCAAAAAGCATCAACTAAAATCTATCTAATTAAAATCAAATGAAACTAAACAGAAGTCGATCAAACCAACAAAGTTAAAAACTGATTTTAGTTTTACATTTTTAAAATCAAAGTGTTAAAAATTGAACTGATATATCGAAATCAAGCAAACTTGCAAACACCACACACACCCCACATATATTGTAGACCGTTTGAAATCGAACCGATCAACATTGAATAAACTGAATGTGGCCAAAACTGATCCAACCTTCGCCAGTTTGATTTATATTTTGTGCTTTTGGGTTTGAAAATAGACTCAATCAATTAAACCGATCAAAGTGTGCTAAAATCGAATGAAATAGATACATCCGATTGAACTAGCCAAACCGAAATCGGCTAGAACAGTATTGTTCGAATCTCGATTTGACCTTTTTTGAAATATATCAACTAAAAACTGATCAGATTAAACAGTACTCAACGAACACCCCTAATCTAGACTATATGTAATACTCCGTACATTGTACATGTTAATGTGAAGTACTATCCCCTTTTCATTGGATATTGTCAAATTTGTGTTAAGTGTTGAATAAGAAAAATAAAAGTTGAGTAATTGGATTTTTTACAAAGGAGAGAAAAATAAGCGAAATCACATACTCCGTTTTGAGACAAATAAAGTTCTACAAATCGAAGTCATTGGTGGTGCATGTAGTTTTGCGAATAGCTATATCGCACGGATGCGGATACGGCGATACGCGAAATTGAGTACAACGATACGACAACTTCAAAAATTATAGGATACAGGTACGGGGTATACTTATAAATAATAATAATATAAGGTATAATTGGCAAATATATATAATTCAGAGGTTCATAAATAAAATAATAACAGTACCAAAAATCAACAATCATATTAAAATTTCAAAGATTAGACTAAAAAGCTATAATACTAATATTTTGATTTAAATTCAAATTATATTTTTGGTTCTCTGTTTGCATTTGCATTTAAGTATTTTAACAAGACTGATTTCAATTAATGTTCATCAAGCGACAATTTGACAAATTATAGCATTCCAATACTTTCTATACTTCCGAAAGCATCTTTACTAATGTTCCACATTTTGTGGTCGATTGGGGGGCTACTAAATTTTCGTCATGTTTTGTATGAAATCTGAGGTTATAAGGTTAGATATGCTTATCGATTCACATATATGAGTATCGGAAGTATCCATATTTTTTAAAAAATAATCCAGTACCTTTATTAAATTACGGATACGAACCCAATACGTACAAGATGCGTATCGATAATGTTCGATATCAGATACGTATTGCATACATAGATACGACATCGAGATGAACCCTAGACGAATAGTAGGCGAATAGTACTAGTCTTGTTTACGTTAATGTAATAATAATGTCAATGTGTCTCTTTTTTGATGTACTCAAGGTCCATAATGCACATGTCATTAGGTCAAGAAGCAGCATTAGAATTTTAAGCCCATGAAAGAAATCAGGCTCACCAAAAGGGCCTTGCGATAAATTTAGGCCGTAGAGTTGGATACGATTCACAAGAACCCTAGCCGCTTTATATATGAATTAAGCTGCGTGTTTTTTCGGTGATACCCCTAGCAGAGCCTTTCAGCGCCTCCGAGCAGAGCCAGACACCGAAGAAGATGAAGTACAACCCGCGTGTATCCAGCTCCCGCCGGAAATGCCGGAAAGCGCACTTCACAGCGCCGTCAAGCGTCCGACGTGTTCTGATGAGCGCAACCCTCTCGACGGATCTCCGGACCAAGTACAATGTCCGTTCGCTCCCTGTTCGAAAGGACGATGAGGTTACGGTTGTTCGCGGTACATACAAGGGCCGTGACGGCAAGGTTGTACAGGTCTACCGTAAGAAGTGGGTCATCCATATCGAGCGAATCACCCGGGAGAAAGTTAACGGTTCCACCGTCAACGTTGGTATCCACCCATCCAAGGTCGTCATCAGCAAACTGAAGTTGGACAAGGATCGCAAGGCCTTGCTTGACAGGAAGGCGAAAGGAAGGGCTGCTGGAAAGGACAAGGGCAAATTCACAGTAGAGGAAGTTGCTGCTGCTACAGGAGCTTCTTCTATTGATTAGATTTGGTAATGCTCGTAATTTTATATGTTTCGTTCCTGTTCTATTACTGTAACCAATCAGGATCATTTCCAATGAGTAATTTGGTAAGTTCTGTCTTTTGTTATCCAAGTAACCTTTTTGTTCTAGGTTTGATCCCTATAAACATCAAAGTTTCATCACATGTGCCTTTTGTCCTATTTTGTTTGAAGTTATTGCCCAGCCTAGTTAATTAGTGTGGGAAGCCTTCTCTTCGTTCTTGATGAAAAGATACAAGCTCACTTTATGCTTAAGCTAAGCTCAATGTTTTTACTACGTATTTATATTTAGGCTCATGCTATCAGGGTAAGCATCAATCAATTCTAAGATCATAATTAAACCCAGTATCGATAATTGCTTATCTAAAGTGTGTCTGGTCTTTGCATTTCGTTTTTAGCTCTCCCTCTTGGTAAATAGGATAAAAGATAAACCAATGAATGCATGTTTTATCTGACAGTCTTACAAACTGTCTGCCTCTTAGGTTCTGGACTGATGATGCACAATACGGCTTTTGTTGCCCAATTAATGTAATATCCTATACTTTTGTGCATAGAAATGTAATATTGCTGAATTCAGAACCTCTATGGTACCTGCCCTTAGCTCACCAAGGTTATTGGTTTAGGTTCAGAACTTCAAAACGATATTCGTATTTACAATCAAGTAACTATGGATGTTTTTCTGTTAATTGGCTGAAATCTATTTTATTAAACAGATCTTTTCAAGAAATCAGCTGTTAGCTATATAAGCAAAACTGTCCTTGCTCAGCGGCTTCTGAACTTGATTATTTGAGATCGTTTTTAATTTTATGAACAATAGAGCCCTTAAATGTCATACACTGATGCTTATGAACAAAAAGAGCCATTAAGGTTATGCATTAAGACCTGTGATCAACACACGAATCATGTTCTTCATTGGTCTTCGAATTACTACTCTGCAAAGAGTTTACCTGTTTAAATGTTTTTGGTACTTGTTTTGCTTGAATCTATTTTGAAGTTATTTTAGATAAGATGCTTGCTAGTAAAAGTTTGTAGCATTTTAGAAAGACGTGTTCTTGAAAAGGAGAAATCATATATGGGATTGCATCTATGTAATTATCGTGTTTTCAAGGTTGTATATATCATTATATCGTTCTTTAATCATCAAAGTTGTTATAAATGTAGTGTATTCACGGAAGACATTTTTAATGCGGCTGAGAAACACGTTTACAACAATTTGGGATAACATATATGCACTTTAATACAATTGAGGGATTGCATTTCAATATGAGCACTACTCGAGGGATTAAACTTGTGATTTCCACTTCTCTTTTAAATATTTAATATAAGTATAAATTGCCATTTAAAAACTCTTATTTAAGAGGTCCCACTTATGAGTTAGTTTATGAATTACAAGACATGGATATTGAATTCTTGATAGGTGGGTGGCTGGACAAACCGGGAAGTGTTTCAGAGTTCTTTTAATAATTATTGTGATCGTAATAGGAGCAGTTTATTTGCATGTAGTCTATTTCTTTGGGGATTAGCGATTCGACATTTTCGATTTGAAGTGTCCGTTTTTATTTCTCATTCCATTCATCCATTGTAGTTTTGAACTTTATGATTGTAATGTTTCTTGTCATTTTTATTTTTTTTTAAAAAAAAGATGAGATCCTTAATAGTAAAAGTTTGAGTATATTAGAAAAAAGTGTTTTTAAAAGGAGAAATCATAGTATGGGGTTGCATACTATCAATTTTGTAAATATCATTCTTTAATTGTCAAAGTTGTTACAACAATTTGGACAATTGAGAGATAAAGTTTACGCACTGAATACAATGGAGGGATTGCATTTCAATATGAGCATTACTTGAGGAACAAAAATTGTGATTTCCTTTAACAAAAATTGTGATTTCCTTTTAAAAAAGTAAAAGTTGATAATGTTTTTTTAAAGTGATAATGTTTGTTAAAAAGTCCTTTTTATGTAATAGAAGAATGAAAACAATTTAAAGCATCTTTCATTGAATTTTAACTTTTAAATATTTAATTTAAGTAGAAATTGTCACTTAAGAGGTCCCCTTACGACTTAGTTTATGAGTTACAAGACATGGATCTTGAATTCTTCATGAATGGCCGATGGCGCACACTTCTATCAGTTCTATGCATCCTTCATCTTCCCTCTTTTCAATCAGTAACCGTCTCTTTGTTTAGCCTTCATCGATCGATTTCCATCTGTAAATCTGTAATTTTCAAAGAATGAACCCGATACATATGTTTTGGAAGCTAGGGATCATACTCTTTTATAAAACCCACACTGTTTTCTTAGTAAAAGGTTTTCTATGAAGCGGTAGGTATAATATATCGTTTTACAAATATTGTGTAACCATGTCCTTGAATGAGTTTTCCCTAAGGATTCTGCAACGAGATTTTTAACTAGGCATACACATTAAAATACCTCACATGCGAACATGCCTACGACATATACTTCATGTGGCAAAGTTTGTGCACTAGACTTTTTGAGGCATACTTCTCATACAGTTTTATGTAGTCTTTGTTACCGGTGGGCGTAGCCCAACTGGTATTGAGGGAGTGCCACAAAGATTAGGTCTCGGGTTTGAATTCCGTCAATTGCGATGAGAGGTTACTATGCTAAAGAATACATAGAGCTTCTGCAAGTATCGAGAACAGAGTTCCACTCTCTATCTGTCAGATTGAGATTATAGTCCAATTTACATCCTCCCAATGTACCGTCCGGTCGGGATTGGGGGTCCCTCAAGGATGGGATGTCATCTTTTTTTATAGTCTCTGTACAAACCTAGTGCTACTACTCTACAAGTTTATCAATACGTGATAATTCAGGGGCTTATA